GTTAATTAAAGGTTAAATGTTAATTTTGGTCCCTCAATTTTTTTTTGTATTTTTTTAATCCATTAACTATAAAAAATACACTTTTTTAGTCATTCTACCAGTTAATCCGTTAAATTTATCTGAATCTACACATTTTTAATTCCTCAACTTATGATATATGCACATTTTTAGTTTTTCAACTTTAAGTTGAAGGACTAAAATGTGTAAATTTAGATAGATTTAATAGATTAGCTGATGAAAAATTAAAAAAGTGCACTTTTCATAGTTAAATGATAAAAAAAAATTTTATAAATAGTTGATGGATGAAAATTATACAAAACCTTAAAATTGAAGGATCAAAATTAACATTTAACCTTAATTAAATATACAAATGGTATAGACGCCACCTTAATTTGGTAGGGAAAACGGAAAAGACGGCAATAAATCCATGGGCCAAGATGGGCGCATATTGTTAAATGTTAATCACAAGTTAAGGTTGGACGGCGTACTCAATCCTACCCACTAATTCTGTGTGGGTCCAAATGGAAAAAAAAAAAACTTTTTTTTTATGTTAGATCATATATTATATAATAAAAAATAATTTTTTAAAATTTTTTTTACTCATTTTAATTAACCATTAAAACATTCTTTAAGAGTATTGAAAAAAAAGTCCCAATCAATCACAATAGAGTAATTTAATGATTAAGAACTCGAAACTTTAAAGTGAAGATTTTGAATTTAAATTATAAATCAAATAAAAAGAAATTTGAGAATAAGAAATGATTACTTTCTTTGTATGGTTTATAATAAAATATATAATTTATAATAAGATATACTTAAAAAAAAGAAAAAAGAAAAAAGAAAAAGAAAAGTCCTAATCAAAAGAACATTATCTATCAAACAACGTAAATTTAGGCCACCATTTTCTTCTTTTGCACGAGAGGATAAAGGGAACCCATCATCATACCCAAAATTTTAAATTTGGAAAGACAATATGTGGTCCAATGTCATGAAATAGCATAGGGGCCTTTGATACCATTCAGACAGCTGAGAGGAAAAAGATTGACTTCTGATTCTTTTCTTTCTCTTCTTTTTTCTTTTTTTAGTTCGAACAATGTAACTTTAAATTATTGAAAGAAGATTAATTTTTTAATATTGAGGAACCATCTTTCAGTTAGCAATTTTATTTTATGGTTTGATTATGAATTGCAAAATAAAGATTCAGACCCTCAAATATAAAATTCCTTATAGGTTTATTCTAATTTGTGCTTGGGTTAATGGTGTATTTATTATATATTTTTATAATTAATTTATATAAAAATTATAAAAATAAATTTTATTTTTAATATCAATGCTATTAAAATGATCTAATTAGATTATTAACAAAATTAAAATTATTTTTTTATAAATTAATAGGCAAAAGATACTCCGTTTAATCTTTTCAGTTGACTTGATCCCTCAATTTTAAATAAATTAACGTGACAATTTATGTAATAAATAAATAATAATTAAAAAATATTTTAATAAAAATAACTAACAAAAATTACGTATAAAAAATAACTAATTTCTATAAAAAGAGAGTATAATAAATAAACCCCACGTTAAAATCATTTTTTTTCTTCAATTGGTTGGGGTAATATATATAAAAATTAATGTTTGTTTGTCTTATTTTTAAAAAATTAAAAAATATATATATAATACTGTAATTTATATTTTAAAAATAAAATATTTTAATTTTTTAATAAATATTTATTAAAATAATATAATTTTAAAATAATATTTTTTTAAATTTTTAAAAAATAAAATAAATAAATACTATTTTTATATGTCTATGTGTGCGCGCGTTGAGGTGGTAGGTAAAATTACCTTCAAATACGCCACTAATTTAATTGGAATGGACGGCTTAATTTGACTTTATGGTTTTGTGGTTCATCTAGGATAGGGACAAAACCTCGGTAACGTAGAGAAAAGGCCCATTATTTGCTTCGTTAAAGTAGGATTATTTCGAAATTATGCAAAGCAGGTGCATCACATGTTTGATTTCGACGGTTGATTGGTTGATGATTTAAGGCGCATGACCCCCTTTTTTTTTCGCTTTTCTTCTTTAATTAATTACGGTAATTAATTATTTATTTATTTTTGCAAAAGATCATGAGACACCTAAAATGGAATCCAATTTGAATGAAAAAAGTGTGTTTGGGTATTTGGTATATATGTATCAAATCAATGAAAACCATTTAGGTAATATAGTGAAAATCTTTTTTTTTTTCAAAGTTAAAGTAATAAAATTTAAATTTAAGTTATAAATATGCAAATAAAGTAAACAAAAAGATAATAAAAAATTATTTTTTGTTATATATTTTATAATTAAAAACTATCAAATTAAGTCAATACAATATAATTAACAATTTAGACCTTAATTTTTAACCAAGAAATCATTAGATCAATAAAGAATTCAGCTGGAGTCAAAATTTAGATCTTTCAAATTAAGATGAATGGAATGGTGAATGAATCAATTAGGACAACTTTTAAAAAGAAGAGCGACAAAATGGTAATGATGAGAAGGGGATGAATCAAGAATGGAAACCAAGGTATGAAAGGGGAAATATTAAGAACACTCTTTTTTACTATTTTTCTTTTAAGTCTATACTTAATCAACCAAATAAGCTTTCTCATTGTTGGTTCACGAGACACATGATTTTGAAATTTTAATCACTTACACATTATGTATCCCAATAATGAAGAAATATGCCATGATGAATCAATTAAAAAGAGTGATAATAAGAGAGAGTATGGCTAAATACTTTTCATATCGTATGTATGATAAATTGAAGCTTCCTTTTGTTATTTTGAAAAAGAAAGACTCAAAGAAGGGAAACCAAGGAAAACAAAAGTGGACCGTCAACCAATGAAATTTAAAGTCATCACATAATAACTAGGATATTAGCTTAAATAAGTGTTTTAAAACTTGAAATTCTTAAGTTAGAGATCTCGAATTTAAATTTTAAAACAGATAAAGAGATATTAAGAAAATACGAAAACTATCATTTATTATATAGCTTATAATTTGATCTTAAAAAAAAATTTTATTTTTTGCTACTCAATTTTTTAATCAATTCTCCTTTATCCTTGCAAAGTGGATTTTCAAATCACATTAACGTAAGAGAGGTGTATCAATCAATCATGACAATTAGTCAAAAGTGGAAAGGGAAATTTTTAGTTCATGAACTGTTTGATTTCTAATTACTTGAATCAAGGGCAATCAACCATGCCCTATTCAATTAAAAAGAGAATTCAATGGACTCATGTCATTTTTTGGATGATCAAATTTTGTTATGAGAAGAGTGAAAATTAAAACATCTAAAATCTTTATAATGTTAGAATTGTTTATAAAATTATTTAAACACTTTTAATAAAATTTTCTTACATATTAATTCATTAAGTTTATTTAAGTATTTTCACTTCCATTCCTAACATATTAATTGTTAATAGGTCATGATTTTTCACAATCTCTGTGTTTGTAACATCAATAAAATGTTTGGGAGAATCTAATTCAGTTTAATAAAACTAACATGGAGGTATTAGGCTTCTTCTTTTATGAAATCTTGTAATGGTCACACTTCATTTAATAAGTAAATACATATCAATTAATGAACCTCATCAAAGTGAGAAAAACGATACATAACTACTTCATCATAAGACTCTGGGTGAATAATTTTATAATTTCCTTATTTAGGAAAGGCAGAGGATTTGTATTCAAGCTATTGATTCCAACATCAGTGGAAATAACTCATTTATTTTTAAGATGGAATTTAGATCAGGTGGAGGCATTGGGGCCACCGCACCACACTATATCAGTCGATGCCCACAGGAATTCCATCAATAGATTTCTAGCAGCCAAACATGGGGTGGTGTTATTGCCACAGCTTCACAGGTTAACACCACAGCTTTTTTAATTAATTGACCATTAACCCACGCAGAGAACGTGGTGACTGCAGCAAGTTGGATTCAAATGAGGGGTATAATAGTCAAATAATTAAAAAAAGCTGTGGTATTAACCGTAGTGGCTGTGGCAATAACACCACCCCCAAACATGGGTCATATATCCCAGAAAAGAATGTTGAACCTACTCACAGCCAAGGAGAAGGCAGTGTGTGTATGCAAGTTTCTCTTTTAAGTTCCAGGAGTTGTATATATAATCTAGAATCACTGAAAATATACAGCTTTTATCAGTTATTGCAAGGGTTGGCAGCAAGTTTCTAAGGAGTTTCTGCATCACTTGAACCAGAATGGCCATCCAAATTCAATCCCTCGTTGATCTCAGTTATTCTCCATCTGTTAGAAGGAAATGCACATAATTCAGAATTTTTTGATGTTACATTTTAGCTTGAATTAAAAGAATGATCGAATAGAAACCGGAGGTGGTCAAACAATCAGAACCTTTCCAGAACAAACTTTCCTTCCTTGTACTTTTCATTTTTGTCATGCGCAACAACCTAACATCATCATCATCACTTAAAACACGGACCAAATATGGTAAGATAGTATAGAGATCAAGAAGTAATATGGCTTAAGCAGATTGATGTCATCATTCAATTCCTTGACCGAGGAAATGAACATTCTTAGTTTTTGTATTTATTTTTTACAAAGAAAGAAAGATGAGAGGAGCTTACATATTTCCATCCAATAATTTGTCCGCAGCTGCAGCAAAATATATCTTCAACAGTATGCAAACCAGACATCATCATCCTCTCTTCTTGTCGTCCAACTGTTACATTCACCCTGGATTACAACACATCAGGCCTTAAAATAAGTCAATCGAACCTGATCTTAAAACAAACCAGGCTGAAGATCAATGCAAAAGAAGAATATGTGAATTTCCTCTTCCATTTTAGTCAAGTTCCATAGTTTGGAATTCTAAGGCCAATCTTTAAACCAAAGCAAAACAGAACATCATACTACCACCATTAAGAAGTTTGAGAATGCTTGCTTTGAATAATTACTGAATGAAGTTCTAATTCAATGTCATAAATTTTAATATAATGTGTTAACGAGGAGAGAGAGACTTACACATTATTGAAGAGGAAAGCCCTCCCTTGACGACAATTGAAATACTGGTTAAATTACCACAAAGTTAACTTAGGAAGTTAAAACTTAAAAGAGTATGATCCATAAAGACCCAACATATATGCAAAGAGGAAACTGACATGTATGACCTTAATTCTTAAGGTTAGAATAAAAAGTCTCCTACAGTCATCTAAAATTTTGAGGTATTGAGCTTTACATATTTTACTCACTTCAAATTTCAAAGCAGTCAATTTCATTGTACCTTTAATCTCACAGCATTCACAACCTCCACTCAAGATGAGTTCTCAGAAATCATCATTTCTAATTTTGAGCTCGCTTAGCTGTTTTCTTCATCAATCGCAGTTCAATCAACTTAATATTTGCAGAACAAAGCAATGCTGAAACACACATCTAAGAAATATCAGATGCCCCACAAGTGCAAATTTTCGACTTTCACATCTAGCACAGAAGTAAATTAAACCCAAAAAAAAAAAAGGCTCTCTACATACAATACAATTTACAGTAACATTTTGTTATAGAACAGTAGAAACAATCAGAATCGGGATGTCGTTCGAAGGATATACATCCCATAGGCAGTCTCCAATCACATCCATAATTTGGAAAGAGCTTTTCTTCATTTTCAGCACTCTGTGTTACCCACCTCAAACTAGAAATTTCTACAAAACCCTAAATACCCATTTAGTATCAACCAAAACCCTTTAAGACAATCACAAAATTGAAATCAATCCGATAGATTGAAGCCTTGTGATTTTCAAGTAAAGAAGAGGCCAAGTTCGAGTCTTTACACAATCCCATAAACATGAATTCAAAATTCAACGATTTCCCACGACAAGAATTGATGAAATTAATGGAAAAGAAAGAGGGATTACCCAAGAGAGGACATCGTCCTTGAGAGCAAGAGGGCTCTCACAGAACCGGCATCTGTACTGTGTCTTGCTTCCCAAATCCACCAAAAATACCCTTCCCATTATCTCTTCCCTCTCCGCCCTCTCATAACACCAACCAAAGAGGAAACTTGCAGGCTCAAGCCCAAACAGAACAATACTGCCATGCCATCTCCAGT